GCCTTTGGTTTTGGTGGGTGCTATTCCTTTTCTCTATTAAGAGAACATCTTTAAGTATTACTTGTTGGGCAGGTGTGGAAGAGGTATATTCTTTTAATTTTTCTTTACTGTGTAAGAATTTTACTTCATTTTCAAAGACAAAGGAAGGCTTTGCTGAGTATATTATTCTGGGCCAATAGTTTTTTTTTTGCTTTTAGAGTTTGTAATATGTTGCTCCATTCTCTTCTGGCCTGTAGAGTTTCCTGTGAGAGGTCAGCTGTGAGTCCGAGTGCCATTCCTTTATGTGTCAGTTGATTTTTTTCTCATGCCCATTTAAGGATCTTTTCCTTATGTTTGATTGACAAGGGCTTGATTATCATGTGTTGTGGTAAAAATCACTTTTAGTCAACCATGTTGGGAGTTCTGTGCCCCTCCAAAATATTTTTTTCCCAATTCTTTCTCCAGAGTAGGAAAGTTTTCATTTATTATTTCATTGAATACAGCTAAACCTAACTTCTGTTTCTGCACCTTCTGGAACTCCCATAACTCCTGTATTTGGCCTTTTAATAGTGTCTCTTAATGCTTGAATAGTTTTTTTTTGGCTTGACCCAGCTCTACTTCCAGCTTTTTGTTTATTTCCTGTTGGTGACAAGAAATATCTTCCAATTCTGCGTTTCTTTCTTCTGCTTCTTTCATTCTGTTATTGAGACTTTAAACAAAATTTTTAATTTGCTCTGTTGCATCCTTCATTTTCAATAATTCGGCTTGATTTTGTTTCAGTGTTGCTGTTTCCTGTGTGACATACTCTTTAAATTCCTTGGACTTCTGCATGTGCTTTTTGCTGTTGATAATAATCTTTATAATGAGTTTTCTGGATTCTCTATCCCCTATTTTCTCGATGTCTTCTTCAGTGAACTCTGAGGTTGGCAAAGGGTTTTGCTCCTTTGCAGGGGAGTCTTCAGTAATATTCATTGTGATTCTGTCTCTTCTTTTACTCTTGGTCATTGTACTTCTGGTCAGCAGATTCTTCTCCTTGGGACAGGTTTCTAAGCTGTGTCATCCACATTTCTACAGTTCTGTTTTACTTATTGCAGTTGGTACATGGCTCTTTGCTTGCAGTTACTTGTGCCACTCCCTCCAGCGAGTTCCAGGTCTGGGCTCATACGTTAGCTTCCCACCATAGTCTTTGTAGCCTCAGCTCCTGGCTTACCACTCTCCTCCCCTTGTGATCATGTGCTGAGGCTTCACTGTTGTCTGTGCAACCTTTCTCCCCTTTCTGGTTTGAGCAGTTCCCAGGATTAGGGAGACATCAGATGTCCTATATGACTAGGTTGTTGGTGGTGCTGATTATGCTGGAACCTGCTGGCTGTTAGGTCTGAGGGCCACCTGGACTTGTTTTGACCTGTAGGATGCAGAAGTTAATATTATTTTTGCTGTGGGACCAGTTCAATGCACTGAGCTCTCCTAGCTCAGTACATGGGCCATAGCCTTTGCCACACTATATAGAATAGCACTAATGTGCCACTGTGCTATTCCTGGATGGGCTAGCCTTTTGGTGTGGGGGCTACTCAGACCTGTTTTGAGTGAAACCTGTAGTTTTCCACATCGGTGCAATGCACTGAGCCAGAAATGAGTTTGCTCCAAGTTCGCTGCAAGTTCAGTGCATGCACAATCCTGTCGCACAGCCTTTGCCTCCCTCAGCAAAAATGACACCTGATGTGGCTCTGATGACGGTCTGGGCTGTGTGATGCACCCTGTTCCCACAAGGCCTGTTTAGATCTGCTGTTCTGTCTGTGCTCTTGTTCAGACCAAACAAATTAGCAGGACGGGCAATTCTTTGGGTTCATCTCCTGAGCTCCTGGTGAACTCCCCTTCTTACCTGGCTGCTGGTGCAGCTCTGGAGGCCAGTGGAGCCCAGTTCGCAACTCACTGACTACCACTGGGGTATCTGGTCACTGCAATAAAACACCGTTGTTTCTGCTGCTTTCCCTGGTTTGTCAAGCTTCAGATGCCCCTCCGCCATCAGCTTGTACTCTCGTATTTTCTGGAATATGCCCTCTCTACTTCACCCTGGCTAATGATTTTCCATCTGTTTAAATGTGTCTTTACCCTATTCCACCATCTTGATTCTCATCTGGTTTTCAGAGCATAACATTACTAGATATTGGTAATGGCATAAAAATACATCTTTGGGGTGGAAGAGATGGTCCATAACACATCAGCCTGTATGTTGTTTCACATACGGAGTTTAAATCCAAAGGAAAAAAAAAAAAGGAAAAAAAAAATAAAAAAAAGAAGAAAAAAAAAAGGAAAAAAAATCCAAAGGAAAATGTCATATAAAGGAAAATTGAAAATTTTGACTAAAAATTAAAAAAAATTTTTTTTCCTGACTCTGAAATGCATTTTCCCTTCTCTGCTCCAGGATTCACTTTTCTCTGTTTCTAATAGATTTTTCAAATTTCAGTCTTTTCTTCTTTTCCACGAGACACTCTATTTCTTCTTTCCACTTGTCAGCTTTCCCCCCATTTATCCCTAAGTGCCATTAAGGCATATATGTAAGTAATCCCAGTAATGCAACGTGGCAGTTCAGTTTTACTTCGGATTTACAAAAGGAAACTGCAACAGTTGATCACCCGGACCAGTTAGGAGAGACTGAGCAGCACAGTCACTCCGACAGCAGCAGTGGCAAGCGTCTCAGTATCACCTGCTCTCTGCCTGCCTGGCACTTCCCTATCTCCTTTAATGAGTAGGGGACCTCTATTTTATAGATGTGGAAACAAGGACAGACCTTTGCAGACTTGCTTGATTAAGGTCTAGTATGTGGGGAGTGAGAATTTAAATTCAGTTATTCTTTCTGCAGAGCCCATCTGCTGCACTTCCAAGAGGTAGAAGATTATATTCTTCTGTTTTTTCTTCACTTATCCAGCCAGGAGACAGGCACCGCCTGGCTGTAGACCCCTGTTGGTCTAGCTCATCCAGGGAAATAGGAGCTTTGCTTCATTTTCTCTGGGGGTTTCCTGTGTGCATGTGGCAAAAGGGGAAGTGAGAGAAAATGTACAAGTCTGTTTTCTTTTTTGATAGTGCGTCCTGGGAATTGTAGTCAGCACTGTGCTTCGTATAACCCCTATCCAAAAACTGGACACATGTGTACCATCAGTACCGCAAGGAGGGTTACAATGAGTCAAGGGTTCTGTCCCTAAAAGAAAGGAGAGGAGATCCCAAGCTAGCATGACAGTTAATAATCCTTGCCATTGGAAATTGAAGTAAAAAAAGTAGAGTGTGAAATGGGCAGTCTGGAGCTCCCACACTGCCTCCCTCCCCCGTCTCCTGCACATCCATCATCTGTTTGCTTTCCCCTTGTGTCCCAGGATTTTCTGTAATGTGCACACTTCCTTTGTTCCTATTACTCCCTTGTCTGTCTAGGCAATTATTGCTTTTTCTTCTTTTATTTGTGGTCTGTGTCCACCATAAACCCTCTCTCTCACATCTGCCAGAGTGATGTTTGGGAAATGCAAGTAGACTTAAGTCATCCTCCTCTTGAAAATCCTCAGTTCTTGTTGTTGTTGTTCTTTTAAGATTTATTTACTTTTATTGCAAAGTCAGATACACAGAGAGGAGGAGAGACAGAGAAAAAGATCTGTTTGATGATTCACTGCCCAGCAGGCTGCAACGGCTGGAGCTTCACCAATCTGAAGCCAGGAGCCAGGAGCCTCTTCTGTATTTCCCACGTGGGTGCAGAATCCCAAGACCTTGGGCCGTCCTTAACTGCTTTCCCAGGCCGCAAGCAGGGAGCTGTATCAGAAGCGGGGCTGCCGGGATTAGAACCGGTGCCTATATGGGATCCTGGTGAGTTCAAGCAAGGACTTTAGCCACTAGGTTACCACACTGGGTCCCAATCCTCAGTATTTCTAATGCAGGTTAAAAATTCAAACTCCTTGGCCTGCTGTATTATGCCTTTCATTTTCACATTCTTAGTTGCCTTTTAGCACTTTGCTTCCCTAAGCATCTTGTACATGCCAGACATACTCAGCCTTCCAAAAGTACCATTTCAGTGGCTTATTTTACCATAATTTCTTCTTAAAAGTTACTCTGCTATCATATTCAGGTGTGAGGATACAAGGCAGTGTGCATCTCTACTTCCAGACAAAGATGGACTCCCAATGAAACTATTCACTATATCTTGACAATAGGATGCTGGACTCTCTGCCAATGTCCATAACGATGGACATATGACTGTTTATGAAGAACTGTACTATAGTAATAATATAGGGGAACTCAGTGGGAGTGGGGAGGAGACTTGAAGAGGAGATGAGGGAAATCCCAGGGCCTATGAAACTCTATCATAAAATGATAATAATAAAAAGAAGTAAAAATTTTAAAAAGTCACTCTACCTTTGTATTCACATGGAAATCTCTTGTGCTTTTTATCAAGATAATGCTCATCTCTCTGGTGAGTGATAACTGTTCGGTGACATGATCAATGACTGAGGACTTGGCCCAAGCAGTTTGCGGCTATTGCCTTTCTAGTTTTTGTATGCGTTTTGAATTTTAGGCCTTCATTAGTATTTATTTTGTAGATTTCAGTTACTTGTTTACTCCATATATAATTCATGAGCTCGCTGCAGTCATATTGAATCATCTTGAAAAATTCACCACACACTGCACAGTGTGTAAGCTTCATGGCCATCACTGAAACAAACAGATGGAATTTCCAGTTTGGAGGGGATGACATCTGAGCCCTTGAAGTTTATCATAAATAGGAAACAATGTTTTACTCAGTGTAAGACATCATTTTTTAAAAACTGCGAAAAAAGCACTGACTTTTTTTTGGCAGAATCGAAAGAATTTTCACATATTATAATAGTTTTCCAACAGCAAGAACAGCCTCTACCAATAAGAAGTCTCATTTACTTTTTCTTGGGTTGTTAGTATAGCTTGCATGTGTAGAACATTTTACCTTTGGGTGTGCATGTTGTAGAATGCTTACCTCTGACCTACTTATAGCGCATTTTGTATCGCAGTGGATGACGTAGTAGATGAAAGTGATGACAACGATGATATTGATATAGAAGCCGAAAATGAAACTGAGAATGAAGATGACCTCGATCAGAATTTTAAGGTTAGTACGTTTCTATCATTAGTTAGCTTACATGCATTATATACCACACTTCTAAAACAAACAATGGGGAAAATAGCTGCACATACACAAATTTACTTCATTTACACCTCTGTAATTTTAATTATGTATGACTGTGGACGGTCAGAGATTAAAAGAGCAAATAGTGTTACCTTAAATCACTGGTCTGAGTGGTGGCTTAAACTACCTTACGGAGGAACCTCAGAAAGTATGAGGGAAATCCTAAAAAATGAAGCTTATTTTTTGGTGCCGAAAATTATTGAAATCTGTGCTTCTGAGAGATCTCCAGATAGTTCATTGAAGTGCATATGACGAATAAACTGTGCCTGCATTTCAGTCTTTATGCATGAAAATCATCTTGTAATCGCATTTTCCCCATGGGGTTTTTGAAGCACTCTCTTATTTCTGCTCTGTCTCTGCCAAGAAGGATTTTATTTCACTCTTCTAACTTAGATCTGGAAATCCAAGGAGACTAACAAGAACTAAGGGAGGAGGTTGGGAGTGTTGTGCCAGCTGATGCCAGAGGGAATTAGCTCCTGCCAGAAGCTTTTTGGGGAGCAAGGGTAGAAGAAAAAGAGTGTGTGCCTGATGGTGGTTTTGTGGGAATTTGTGTAATGATTCTTAGCTTTTCAGTTAAATGGACAAGGAAATGCAAATAAGTATTTGTTGGTTTGAGAAAAATAAAAGTTACTGAAATATCACTTAAGATAGTAGGTAAAAGAGATGGGTTAGTTTTTAGAAAACTCATTTTTAGATGGGTTGATCAAGGCCGTCTGGGGTCCCCATGGTTTTGTTTCTGAAGCTGATATATGTGGAAGAAACTGCGGGATCCAAGTGAGGAGAATTTAGATTATTGTATGAATCGAGTTCTGTAGATAACAGAACCCCAAGCATGGGGAAAAATCAGCTATTTTAATTCTTTGGAAAATAATTGTTTGGAAATGAATGTCAAGTAAGACTTCTCAAATTAATACACCATCTGTCACTTAAAAATACTATATTTTGATATAAGCCTTTCTTTTATATTCTGTATGCTTCTAAGACTTTTTAAAAGTATGTTCAGTATGATTTTGTTTTTTTGCAACTCAGAGATGTCATCTTCTTTAACAGTGTCAGTCATTATGATGGCTATGTAAATATGGAGACTTTTATCACTGCAAGGTGTATCAGTGTCCCCAGTGATGCTGCTTGCAAGTTGTGTGAATGCGTGAATATGCAAGAGCAGATTGTGAATATATTGTGTACTGTGGTTCTTCACCCCGAGAACATTCAAGTATGTGTCTAGGAATAGGAAGTACAGTCACAATACAGTTATCAGTTTTCTAAGTTTACAGTGCTGTACCACTTTGGTAATGTGTCATCCATATTCCCTTTTGTCAGTTAATCTTGTAATGTCCTTTGTAACATTTTCTTCCCTTTTCAGAATAGGAACTAGTTTTAGATAGTAGCCTAAATTGTTTTGTCTCCTTATTCTCCTTTACTATGGAACATTTCCATACTTTGTTGTATGATACTGATGTGTTTGAAGAAAGTAGTTATTGACTTGTGTGATTTGCTGCTATGTCAGAGATGACTCTTACTGTCTCCGTTTAAAGAAAAAAAATAGGTTATATTTATTGAACCCTTAATGCTGTGAACTGGTATGAACTCTTTACATTAACTTTTTTGTAATATTGTATTTTCGATGATGTTTACATAATTGAAAGGGATGTATGCCCATGTGGATCATCGATTAGGGTGGAGGGGGTTAAGGAAAATGGATGAGACAGCTACCTCCAATCCTTTTTTTTTTCCTTCCTGCATCTGGAGAAAATATGGAGAGACGGGGAGAGGGCTGCTCCTGGCAGCCCAACCACTTTAGCCACCTGGTGTCATTCCAGGATCCCCAATGTGGAGCATGTTCTGAGGGTGCTGCTTAAGTGGTTTCAGTACTTCTGACATGCTGTTGATTTTGTGACTGACTTATGTGAAGGAACACTTTCCAGGTGGTTCTGTGTTCTGGCCTGACAGGACTTGCCCCCAGTCCCAGTATGTGCTAGCCAATGCTATGGTACAGTCTGAGCAGCCTGCACCTACCCTGGGTCATGCGTATACCAGCAGAATGGTCGCTTAGCCCAGCCTGGCTGTCCCCGCTTCCCCAGCTCACATGTAGGCCAACAGGTACTCTTGCCCACCCTTGTCTGCCCCCCAGCTCCCCTGCTGGGCTTGCCCCCCATGCTGGGTTTTACCTGTGATGGGAGGAGCTGCAGCCCAGACTGACATGGCTTGCCTCACCTTGGCATTGACCAGCAGGTGCTGCAGCCTGGCTTGGTCTGGTCTGCCCCTGGTTCCAGCTCATGCTGGTGGGTGCTACAGCCTAACCCAACCTGAATGGCCCCCAGTGCCAGCCCTCAGTATGAACTGGCTGGTGTGTGGCCTTTTCTGCACCCTGTCCTGGTTCACATCAGCCAGTGAGTGTTAGAACTGGCTCATCCTGGCCTGCCCTAAGACATATCCCACACATATGCCAACAAGTACTTGGCCTTTTCTGGGCTGCTACCTGCCTTGATTCTTGTGCTCACCTGGAGGGACTATGTCCTGACAGAGGAGTTCCCCAAGTTCCTCTGTCAGGTCACCTCCCAGTTGCAGATCTTGCACACCCCAGTGGGTTCTTGACCCAACCTAACTGGGTTCACCTCCTGTCCTGGCAGATACAGCGGCCTTGCCTGACATGCCCACAACTGTCTCAGCTCTTACCATTGGGTGCTCTATCCTAGCCCTGCCTTGTCTAGCCCCATACCCAGATCCTGCATAGTTCATCAGGTGCCGAGACTCAGACCAGCCTGTCCTACACTCGCTCTGTCTCTTCTGAGTACCAGTGGGTCCTGGTGCCAATTGGCACACCTCAAATCCAGTCCACACCCATGCCAAGAGATACTGTAGCCTTATCCAGGCCAGATCACCACCCTCATTTTGAATCTTGTGCTCACCAGTAGGAACCACAAATCCAGTAGAGGCATTCCGCTTAGCTCCCCATCCAGGCATGTTCCCAGCCACAAACCTTGTGTGCCAGTGATTGCTTCAACCCAGTCAATGCAACCTAGGCAGATACCCGCCACTGGATATATATAGTAAGTTTTAAATCCTCATGGTTCTTACAGGAGCTACATGATACAAGCACGTGGAAAAAATAGACCTAGGGAGGTAATATAGCTTACTTGGTGTGGGGCCTGAACTCAGTGTCTACTCTCACTGCACTGAAATACAAGCTGTTCTTTTTCCTCAAGGACTGTAGGACTTTTGAGTTATGGAGGTTGCTGAGCTATCTCTCTTTTTTTTTCATTGTTGTGTGTGCCTATTATTTTCAGTGTGTTATATCTCGACTTTGCTTAGTTTTTTTGTCTGAAACCTGTCACTGATTTCCTGTGTTGAGTGACAGGGCCGATCACTTGGATGGAAGAGCTTTTTTGCTGTGCCTCCTTCTCTCTGTATATCTGCCTTTCCTGTGGAAATAATTTTTTTTAAAGAAATAATAGTTAAATTCCTGTAAATGAAGTAATAAATACGTAGTATGATTTTCCTCTTAATTTCTTAATATGTATTAATGTAGTTAAACTTATATACGTGTGTGTGGAGAGGGACATTTTGAAGATTGAAACATAGAAGAATAAATTCGTTTTAAGGCTCGTGAATAATTGGTAGTAAGATAAATGAGAATTAAAAATGAATGCCAGTTGAAAATTAGTAAGTGTTATGCCTTTTCTGTGGTCGACAGATGTAGTGTGAGTTGGTGTTTGTGCGAGGCCAGGGTCCTTGAGATCCTGGTCTAGCACCAGCTTGGATGGTTGCTAACCGACACTTGCATTCCCAGCAGCAACACCCTAACTGTTATGAGGAGTGTATGGACCAGATTCATCCTGGTTGTGGACTTTGTTCCTCTAAAAAACATACTCTTTGTTTAAATTCACCTTTCTTTTTCCCAGAGGGGCCTGGGAGATCACTGGTTTTCCAGCGTGAATGTTTTCCTCCTGAAAAACAGTGAATGGTGACACTGAAGAGCTCTCAGGGCTTTGCTTGCCTGCCAGTGCAGGTGTGTTCACTCACCTTAGCTCCTTAGCCGTCGCTGAGGCAGTGCATCCTCCTGACCAGCAGGTGCACCCTGGGACCACTCTGGGCACGCTGTTCCCTTCCTTCGGGATGTGTGGTTTTAAGCAAGCTGCTTCTCTACATCTCATTTTTCTTGATCAGGTTAATAGAGGTAATGACACTATGTTTTGCTTGTTCTTATGAAGATTAATTGGGGTAATATGATTCACGTATTTTTTCAGTGCTCAGCGTGTCGTGGCTGTTTCCATCATTAGTGCCATCATATTTGTGTGTTTTTTTTTTCAGCTTGATTTTCTTCAGTTTTATTGCCTTTTGATATGAGCGAAATGATGACAGTGAGGAGACTGAGGGGAGAATGCTTAAGTCTTGATCTGGCCACAGGTAGTTCTCCTGCGGAGGCAGATACACTATGATATCAAAATAATACCACGATAATGATTCAACAATACAAAAAATAACAAATGAGTTTGGATTTTCACGGAAATTAATGATGATGTTTATATTTAGTGATATGCTCTAATTGCATTTCATTGATTATTTAGAACATTTTAACTTTTAAGTGTTTTTGGTCATTTCAATTTTGTTGTTTTGGTAAACTGATGATCATGTTCTTTTTTTAATTTCAGAATGATGATATTGAAACAGATATTAATAAACTAAAGCCCCAGCAAGTGCCTGGACGAACAATTGAAGAACTAAAAATGTATGAACACCTTTTCCCTGAGCTTGTTGATGATTTTCAGGTATAAATATAGATAATTACAGATAACATGGAAAATTAACAACTGATTGTAGTAAAAAAAACCCTATATTTTCCTACTTTTTCTGTAATTTTTGTATTCTGCTTTTCTTTAAAAAAAAAAAGTGAAACTCATGTTGTATTTCCAAGTAATGTTAAAATAATTCCACCATCATTCTGAATTGCAAGCTGTTTATCTGTAAAAAGAAAACCAATGGATGCTTTTTTAAACAAAATTTGTCTTTTGCTGTTTTGATTCTTCACTTTTAATGGATAGATTTTTTTATGCCTTTAAAATAATGTGTTGAATTCTTGCTGTAAGATTTTGTTGCAGTCTCTCTGTGTTTAAGAAGAGGTGGGGACTTAACTGTGCTAAATTAAAAATAGAGTCTATATATGTGTGTGGATTTTTTTTACCCCCCTGGCAGTTAACCTTGGTGACGGTTGGGGGAAGACAGAAGATGACAGTTTAATGCTTTAAATTAATTTACACAGAGAAAAGAGCTTAGAATTTTATGTAAGGGTTGATGTATTTATTTATTTATTTCTGAGAGAGGAGCATGTGTGCTGGCTGACAGTGGGCTGGGCCAGGTGTACCGGGCAGCATGTGTCCAGTGTGGGTGGCAGGAAGCAGCCACTTGAGTTGTGACCACTGCCTCCCAGGTTCTGCACTGGCAGGAGGTTGGAGTCAGGAGGTGGAGGCTGGCCTTGAGCCTCTGCACTCAGGTTTGGGTTGTGGGTGTCATGACCAGCGTCTTACCTGTCAGGATGCGTGCTCGCCCTGAAGTGACTCTTACTAACATTTCTCACCTTTCATTGTTTATTTCTTATTTATTTATTTATTTATTATTATTTTTTACTTGGAAGTCTGAGTTACAGAGAAGGAGATACAGAAGATCTTTCAACCACTGATTTACTGTCCAGATAACCACAGTGGCTAGAGCTGGTCTGGTCTGAAGCCAGGTACCAGGAACTGCTTCTCAGTCTCTCATGTGGATTGCAGGTGCTTAAGTAATTGGGCCATCTTCAGCTGCTTTCCCAGGTGCATTAGCAGGAAGCTGGATAGAAATGGAGCACTAGGACACAAATTGGCACCCATATACGGGATGCCAGCATTGCAGGTGGTGGTTTTGTTTACCACGCCGTTATGCTGACCTCAGAAGCAAGTTATTTTAAAAGCTATCTAAAGTTTAGTAGTACATATACTCAAGGACTTGGGCCTTCCTCTGCTGTTTTCTGGGCCACTAGCAGAGAGCTAGATGGGATGTGGAGCAGCTAGGACATAAACTGGCACCTGTATGGGATGCTAGTGCCACAAGGTGGAGGATTATCCAGCTATGAACTAAGTAATGTTGAAAATTCATTTAGCCCTTAGCCAAACCCTTTGCTTCTCAAATTCTGTATGTATAATTCCTACTTGCTTAAATAGAAAGTCTGAAATATGAGATTATAAATGAGAAATTCAAATCTGTGTGGGGGATAGATATCGGCTAGGGTCTTGGATTTCTTTTGAGTTTCTCTTTGGGAACTTAAGAACCTTGGATAAGGGCCTGGCACAATAGTGTAGTATTTAAAATCCTTGCCTTGCATGTGCAGGGATCCCATATGGTTGCCAGTTCTAATCTCAGAGGCCGTGCTTCCCCTCCAGCTCCCTGCTTGTGGCCTGGGAAAGCAGTCGAGAACTGCCCAAAGTCTTGGGACCCTGCACCCATGTGGGAGACATGGAAGAAGTTCCTGGATCCTGGTTTTGGATTGGCTCAGCTCCAGCCATTGCAGTCACTTGGGGAGTGAATCATCGAACGGAAGATCTTCCTCTCTGTCTCTCCTCCTCTCTGACTATCCGCCTTTCCAATTAAAAAAAAAATGAATAAATCTTAAAAAAAAAAAGAACCTTGGATAGATAGAAGAGGGAACAACTCGCATTTTTTTTCATATCACCCCCATCTTATTACTCCCCATAGATTTGCAACATATAAGGAGGTACTTTGAAATCAAGGGTGATAGATAAGATGGCAGGAGTGAAGGAGATATTTGGTGAAAGAAAAGCTAGAGAGCCTGGCATTGTGGTGTGCTAAGTTAAGCCACTGCTTGCAATACCGGTAATCCTGGGTACTCTGCTTCCAGTCAGTCTCCTGCCAATGTCCTTGAGAAGGAAAGGAGGATGGCCCACATGCTTAGACTCTGCCTCCCATGTGGGAGACAAGGGTAGAGTTCATGACTCCTGACTCTGGGAGCCTTTATGAAAGGATCTTGTCATCATTTGAAGCTGTGGCTTAAAAAATGCTGTTTACTCATAGTCACAATTATGGTTTTATTTTTTTGTTATTTCTGGATGGCAAAGTGTTGAAAGTGTCAACATTCTTCATTTTCACACTTTTGAAAATGTATCTTTGGAAGCATGATGACATTTACCATATGAATTTTTAGTTTTTTTCTTTTCCTTCTCTTTCAAATTTGATTTTAAATTTTAGCAAATTTATCTTTTAGTTATAACTTCAACAGACATTTTGAAGTCTGCTTCTATTTGCAAGAGTCTGAAACTTACCAGGACCTTTGCTTCCTTTAATGACAAAAGGAACAGGAGGATAAGTGTGCAGTGCTGAGGCCAAGTCCCCAGAGGAGACACCTCCCCATGTTGGAGCCCTGGTTTCTCCACCTCTCATCCTATGTCCTGCCAGTGGGCACGCTGGAAGGGGGTGGGTGATGGCCTCAGATATTAAGTCCCTGTCATCCGTGTTGGAGGCTTGTTGGAGTTAGGTTCCAAACTCGGCCTGAGCACGGCCCAGCTCAGAGGTGCCAACTGGAAAGCCAAAGATGGACTGCTATTCCATCTCTGCCTTTCAACCAAAATGAAACTAAATCACTGGAAATAACTTAAAAAGAAACTTGCAGTGTTTTTAACTATAGTCACTTTCTAATCCAGTTTACATGGTTTTCACTTATATTTTAACTTCATAAAAAAACCCCTGTGATATTATTATATATATGTAACATATATATGATATATTATATATATATTTATATTCATTGATGCATGTACATTTTTACTACCTTAAAAATTTTCATTTTCATCTCTGCAAAAATACTTTTGTACTTGTTCCTGAAAGTTGTTCTCCTTTTTGTCTAGCTATTTTTTGAAAATCAGCTTAGTTGAGATCCAGCTTAAATGTAATACATAACATTTAAGTTTGGTGAGTTTTGACATGCTTCTACAACATGTGACTATCACCCTAATTAAGAACAAGGTGGATTCTCTTGTCCCCACAAGTTTCCTGGCACTACTGGTCTGCTTTCCATCATTGCAGCATTTCATCTGTCCCAGTGCTTTTGTAGATGGAACCATGTGGCATTTACACTTTTGTCTGAGATTTCTTTTGCTCAGCTATGATTTTGAGATATACCCAACTTTCGAGTATTGCAACCTTTATAGTTTTGTCCTTTCGTTAATTAGGTTGATGCCAGTATTTGCGTACAAACCGTTTGGTGGAAGCATGCCTTCCTTTCTGTTGGGTAAACAGCGGAGTAGCATTCATGCTAAGTGTGTTTTTACTGTGTAAGGAACAGTTAGTTGGTGGTGGTTCTTTAGGGAGCTTTGCTGTCTGGTGATCTGGAGTTTCACAGTATTGTTGACGGAGTTTGGATTCTGTATGTTATCTCATAGGATTGGAAAGACAATTTCTTCTTTGGTTACCTCCTTGTCCCCTTTTTGTTCTCCCATCTTTGTGTGGTTCTCGCTGCATTTAAAACTGTTTGCTGTCTTCCATGTTTTTTTAACCACTTATTTTTAATGCTATTTCTCTGTCTGCATTCAGAAAATTTCATCAGAAGTATCCACTCGATATTTAATTTTGTTTATTTCTAGGTAGCTTAACATATGCTTTATCATTCTTTAGTATCTTCAGCATTTCTCACTCCAGGACTTGTATGCTGAAAGTCCTGTTTCTGGAATGCCACTAGAAGAAGCAAGTGTGATACTTGCCATGGTTAAATATTTTTTGTTTTTCATTAGTAAAATCCAAGTATACTGTGTTTTACCTATTTTTAAAATGTTTCAGATGTTAAATTTGAAGCAAACTTTTAAGCGAATGATTCTGTTTTTGTTAATATCTCTTAATATTTGCAGATAAAAGGTTGGACTTTTTTTTTTTTAAGGGCTATGATTTAATCTCCAAAGAACCAAAGCCTTTTCTGTTTGAGGGGAAAGTTCGAGGTCCTATTGTCGTCCCCACCGCGGGAGAGGAGGCTTCTGGGAGTTCTGGCAGCTCAAGAAGAGGCGGAGCCACAAAGGAGAGTGCATCACCTCGGGGAGAGGAAGGTGACAGGAAACCTGGAGCGAAAGATGATAGGAAAGGTGGTGAGCGAGCATTGCAGCAGCAGCTGGGTGACCAAAGCAGAACTGCCCCATCAGCCCCCGGCTTCAACAGTGACCTCGTGAAGGCCTTGGACAGGATTACTTTGCAGAACATGCCCTCTCAGACCACCGCGGGGCTCACCGCTGGTATGAAGAAGGACTACAACCTCCCTCTCACCGTCCTCTCGTGCACCAAAGTCTGCCCGCACGTGTCCTCCTGTGGGAATTCTCTCTTCGAGGGAAGAGCAGTTCAGCTGGGGAAGCTGTGCTGTACCGGTGTTGAGGCTGAAGACGACGAGGATACCGAGTCTAATTCCTCTGTGGATCAAGTGTCAGCTGAGTTACCCGAAGGCCCGACGCTGCATGATGCAGAACTGTACATCGAGGTTGTGAAGAGTACAAAGTCTGTCCCGCAGTACTCAGAGGTGGCTTACCCGGATTATTTTGGTCACATTCCACCTCCTTTCAAAGAACCAATTTTGGAAAGGCCTTACGGTGTACAGAGGTAAGTGGCAGCTTTCTTTCCCTTCCAAAGAAGATGGAAATGACTCTGAATTAAATTTACTGTCATTTTTTTAAAATCCTGCTTTGAAGACTTTGCCTCATTCTCATATTTTCCTTGTTAAGTAGTCCTTTATTTCCCAAGCTTGTTGTGTATTGAAATGAAGCCAGAATAATACACTTGACTGGTAGATAATATAGAGATTTTCTGTTTAGACTGAATGTGAATTATTACCATGCGTGCTTGATTTAGGTATAGGATTTAAGAATAAGTTATAAATGAAGAAATGCAGTATCATTTTGTGGTAAGATTTAAATGATGCTTTTATTTGAGAGACAGGGAACGGAGATGGGATTTTCATCTGCTGGTTCACCCCCAAATATTTATAACCGCCAGGTCTGGGCCAGGTTTAACCTAGGAGCCTGAAATTCAATGTGGGGTTTTTGGCTTGGTGGGAGGACTCAGTCAACCTGAGCCATCACTTGGCATCTCCCAGGGTCTGCATTAATACTACACAAAGATGAGGAGTGGAACTTGGACTTGAACCCATGTAGTCCTGTAAAAGAAATGGGTATGTTAACTGGTATCCTTAATGCTAGGTCAAATGCCTGTCCCAAACTTGGAATCTTAGTTGGAAAAATACAGTGCAAAATTTAGGATCCATAAAAGCAGTAACTAATATTGTTGGGTATTACCAGCTAGTATGTCGTTGGCATATAAAAATATATCTTTTGGCATATCTGGACTATTTTTGATGATTATGGTTAAAGCTTGGTGAGGATGACTTACCAGAATGTGAGAAACATTGGTGTGATTGGTGTGATCTTTTTATGAGTATAGTGTATGATGAACAGGAAGACCTGGCTGTGGGTGTTTGATTTTCCTTATGCTATAAACTCCTTTTGGAACAACAATCATTTCTTAGTTATTTGTTTGCTTTAATTTATAGCAAGTGGTATAATTTTTTTTTATTTAATTTTGACAATCCTTACAAATTTAATTGGGGTAAAAAAGGTTCAAGGTCTAAAGGGGGATATAGAGGAAGAAGCCCCACCCAGTCTCCCGCCCACCCCAAGTCCCGGGTGTGGGGCATGCTCTGAGATACTCGATCAAGTGGTTCCAATAGTTCACCATTCATGGGTCGTTGCCAGTCTCGCCACCCCAATCATGATGTGGTCATTGAAGAGTTCATTGAAGAGTTCATTGATTGACACAGTCCCTTCTAGGGTCTCCATTTGCCCAGTCTCTGCTGCCAACAGATGGCTGAGGTTGTTGCTTGATTTGTCCTGTCTTTCCCTGGTTAGGACTCCGAGTCCGGTGTCTCAAATGGGAAGATCCTCGACGAAATTTTGAGGTATTCCCAGTCCAGATTCCTGCTGTTTTAGTAGCATAGGGCCCGGCACAGTCCACTGCCCCGGTCAGCTGGCGGCTGCAGTTGCTGGGCCGGTTCTATCTCCACCCGTGTCCTCTTGCAGTCCCGCCTGGTTCCACCCTGGACGCATTTGTCCCTCGCACGTACTAGTAGGAGTTGCAGCCCAGTCAGGGCGGCCCACAGTAGCCTCAACCAGGCCCACCTCCTACCCTGGCTTGCCAGTATATATGGCATACTATCCCAGTCTGTCCCCAGTACCCTTCTGTTCATATTCTTGCCAACAGGTGTTGCCACCTACTTCCATCCAACTATCTCCTCCTACCGTCCCTAACGGATATTGTTGGGTGTCTGTCTAGCCACCCCATCCCCTGTCCTAGTTCCCATACCCTCCCGTGGAAGGTGATGACCCATGAGGGAGGAACCCACTCTTTCCCTCCCAGGTCGCTCCCATTCCAGTTGTGCCCTCTCCATTTGGCCCTGTGGTTCAACTCAACGTGTCTAACCCTTTGTACCAGCTTCCGCCAACTGGTGCTACAACTAAGCCCCAACAACCCTCACCAACTCTGATTGTAGCTTGCTCCAGTGGGAATAGTCAGCCCGGCCTGGTTTTCACCCAATCTGGTCCCCATGAGGTGCACAGGCGCTGTGTCCCTGCCTGGTCTAGTCTACCCCCCACCCAGCTCCCGCTCCTCAGTGTAATTTGCTGTTCAGCTAGGGAACCTCCCCTTTTTCTCCTGTCAGCTCTGCCGCCTCCTTTCCTGGTTCTCACATGTGTTGGTTGGGTGCTGCGGCTGCATCCGGCTCAGGCTACCTCGCCTTGGCATTCCAGCTTGTGTGTTGCTTTTGTTACGACCGGACCTGGTTCGACCCACACTCTGTTCTGGCGATCAGATTTACCAGTGGATGACATGAACAGATTCAGCCTGGTCTGCCCCCGACCCATGCCAAATGCATGCCAGTGGGACACTTTCTATGACCTCTTGGCTGTTGCCTTGCATGTTCCTTGCGCTGACCTGCAGGGTCTGTGTCCTGCCAGAGGAGTTGCCTGAGCTCCTCCATCAGAACCCCTCCATGTGCCAGGTTTCGCGCATATCAGTGGGTCCATGTGCCAGTTCGCCTCTTATCCTAGCAGGAACAGTGGTCTTTCCTAACTGGCCATCATCCCGTTCTGGTTCTTGCTGTAGAGTGTTTCAGCCCAGCCACGGTCATCCATGCCCCCATATAGCTCGCATATGGCTAAGTTGAGGTTGGGACCTAGCCTAGTCTGTCCCACATCCACCCTGGTACTCCAGAGCACCAGAAGGTGTTAGTGTCTGGCCCGGCCCGGTACATCTTTTCCCAATCCACATTTGTGCCAAGGGAGAGGACAGCTGTATCCAGACCCTGCCGCAGCCCCATCCACCTGTCATGACCCCTGCCTTAGACACTGTGGCTCAACTTTGTGCTTAATGTGGACCAGTTGGAGCCAAATCCAAGCTGGGCATGTCCTGTGTTGCACCCTGTGTTCCAGTCATACTATTTATTATTTATTATTTATTATTATTTACTATTTATTACATTTATTTTTACTGTTATTTGCTTTAATTTATAGCAAGTGGTATGATTTTTTTTTAATTTTATTTTTACTCAGCAGCTTAGTGTACATTTAGTCTGCCAGTTAGCTCCTGTGTCTACAGGTTTGGAGCCCCTGCATTCCTCTCAAGGGAGGCCCCTTCTGGGAGGAGACTCTCCCTGTGGACAAGCTGTCATCTCTCAGGATGGAGTTCTTGGGATGTGACAGGAATCTTTGGCTAATTCTGTGTTTCCCAGGAGAAGGAGTGGAAGGGTCTGGGAGGAGGGTGATGGGAACAGAAGTGGCCCAGTTAACTGTATTCCTTGTGTCCCATTGCTGGACGTTGTTCTCTCTGTCCGTCACCTCCAGGCTGTTCAGGGTTCCAAGTCCTAATCTCCTTGTTGGTGCAGTGTTACACTGAGGACATGGTTGTGGTGCAGAGTAAGTAGTAGTAAGTAGTAAGTACAAGCTATGGTTGCCAGTTGGCTGTTTCAGACTCCATGTGTCTAGGAACAGCAGGTAGATGAGCCATGACCACTTGATACAAGTAATTGGCTCAGCTCAGCTAGAGATGGGGCTGCTGTTGCCCAGTGGCAGTAGGGTGAATATGTGGGGCTTTCTGGTGACCCAGTTATTTTGACTCTTGCTACTTGCTTGCCAAATTGAAGTGGTGAATGAATACAGGCATCCTGGAATGAGAGTGGTCAAGGTGCAGACCCCTCAGGAGTAAGGGCTTGAGTCGCCACTTCTGATGTCCTAGCAGGAGCTGCAAGTGATAGGTGAGGGGGACTTAGGTAGATCCTGGCAGTCCTGTGACAGGTATGCTGATAGAGGTGTAGTATGTCCTGCTGTTTCTCTTCTGAATTGCCTCTTGAGCCTCAATCCTGACCAGCACAGGCACCGGCTCACAAATGTGGCTCCCGTGGGTGTGGTGTGATTCTGTCAGTCAGGGGCTCTTTCTCCTGATGTCAGCCTGCCTGCTGTGGCAAGCCCTCCTCAGGATCCCACTCTCCATCCCGCTCTCCCCTTTGTTCTCTGCGTGGGTTTTCCAAGTGGACCGCTCTACACCTCATGATGTCTCGGAGGGACCGAACTGACACACTTTGCATGGTTCAGAAAAGAATGCAACCTGAGGTTTCTCCTTTTGGGGATCATCACTGCTTTACTTCTCCCAAGAGAAAGACGTCATCTTGTGTGCAGAAGGCACTTGCCAAGTTTTAAGTGCTCTTTAAACCCCGACAGCAGTTTTCTCATTAAATTAACCTCAGACTCAAAAGTGTTTCCCTCTTCTAACCAGCTTGTGATACCTGAAGTGGGGTTAGAGTGGAGAGGACAGCGGGCCAGAGGTGTAGCTTTTGCAGAAGTCCTCCTTCTTTCCCATCATGGTGCTGGTTGTGAAAGCATTCATCAATCAAGTCTTTTAAATATTTACCCAATTGATGTTAATAGAGGACATGTTAGCTGCCAAGTCTGGCTGTTCAACATTGGATAAGCAGGTCTGACTGTTCAGGTGCTATGGATACCAGTCCATAAGGGAACTTGGTGGATGGGGACACCAGACCATAAGGAGACTGCAGATGGATGGAGGCTGGTAGGAGTTCCATCGTGGAGGAGGAGCGCTCGCCCTGGAGTGGTACTTCTTCTCCCTCCAGCAGGTGTTTCTGCTCCTGGCTCTGTCCTTGCCTGACCAGCCTGGTGTTTGTGAGCCCACTGCTTCAGCACAACCTGAGCTCTGCTTCCTCTGTCCCCAGCACTGGGCTTGTCCTGAAGGTCAGGAAATTTATAGCAACCAATTCCCTCCTCTCAATCACTATGATGCGTTTTTATCCCCCTGTTTCTGAAACACAGGTGGTAGAATTTCTGTATTGATCAGAATCCAACCTTGCCCTTCCAAGGGCCACCTGTGGGGTATTTGTTAAAATATCTGCCTGTGTACACAGTGTGCAGTACCACCAAGCCTTCTGCAGCTCAACCAGCATCTTTAAGATGGGTCTTTGAGATTTGGGGATGAAGTGTGTGAGGAAGGCGCCGGTGTGCATGTCTCACAGAAAGGGATGTTAGTGTGCAAGTCAGTGACAG